TAGTTGTTATTATTATTATCACTATTATATTATTATTATATCATAATTATATTCTTATAATTATTGTTATCATTATTATCATTATTATTATTATTATTATTATTATTATTATTATTATTATTATTATTATTATCATTATTATTAATGACCTTAATGATATTGATATGCTGATAATGATAATGATGATAATAATAATGATAATGATGATGATGATAATAACGATAATAGTAATAAAGATTATCATTATCATAGTTATGATTATAATAATCATTATCCTTATCACCATCACCATCTTCCTAATCATTCTCATTACTCACATTTTTTTTTCTTATTACTACTACCATCATCATCATCATCATCATTACTTATATCCTCATGTTCATCATTATTATCATTGCTCTTATCCTAATCTTTCTATCTACCTAACTGTTAATCGATCGTTTAATGAATAACCCGTGAATCAATCTACACCCTTTTAAATCCTGAAAAATCCGTTTCAAATCTTTAGAAATTCTTTGAAGTTTAAAAGTCCCTCTCTAATCTTTAAAAAGTTATTTGAGATACCTTTAAAATTTCGTTTCAAATTCTTCATAAAGAATTTTTAAATGTCCGTTCTACATCTTAAAATAAATCCGTTTCAAATCCTAAAAAATAGATTAAAATCCTTAACCCATTCGCGCCGGGTAAAAATCAACAAAAAATGGGGGAAAATGCTGTGCTCATATTTTATACTTTTTGTGAAATTTCTCTACACTAGATGGCTCTGCCTTACCTGATTTCATTTGGCGGGAAAATGTATTTTTACTAGTACAATGAATATCGACGGTTATTTTTATTATAAACATTATAATTACTATAATGTTAGTAACAGCAAAATAAGATAACGTATAATATTTTCGTAAATCAAAGAAAAGGGTAAACAGGCGAGACAGGTACAAGTACAGCCATCTATGTGTAAAAACAATTAAACAAGTAAACTCGCAGTGGGCCCGTCACATATACGTGACACCCGGCGTGAATGGGTTAAAAAATCCTCTTCAAGATCCATATAAGATCTAAAAAAAAAAAAATCCGTTTCAAATCCTAAAAAAAAACTATAAATCCTCTTTAAAAAATCCTTTCCAAATCCAAAAAGAACGATCCTCTCCAAATCCTAAAAGAAAGATCCTTTCCAAATCCAAAAAGACAACCCCCCCACCCCCCAAAAAAAATCCCCCACACGACCTCCAACCTTACTTAGTCTTGCTGGTGACCTCGCAATCGACCTGACCCAGCGCCGCCAAGGAATTGATCTCCCCCCGGTAGAGTTTGGGCGCCGAGAGGTAGTCCAGCGTCCCGCCCACGACCTCGGCTTTGGGGGGGCGACACTTGATCGACGTCACGCAGAACATGAGGGTGTCGGTTGTGACGCTGATGGGGTTGTAGGCGAAGATGCTCATGTTGTACACGCCCTCGGCTCTGTTGGGGGAAGGTGGGGGGGAAAGGGAGAAGGGGTTAGTGAGGGAGAGGGGTTAGTGAGGGAGAGGGAGAGGGGTTGGGGGAAAGAGGGAGATGGGGAGAGTGGTGGGGGAAAGAGGGAGACGGGGAGAGAGTTGGGGGAGAGAGGGAGAAGGGGTTAATGAGAGAGGTAGAGAGGTAGAGAGGGAGAGGGGGAGGGAGGTAGAGTGAAAGAGGGAGAGGGAGGTAGAGTGAAAGAGGGAGAGGGAGGTAGAGTGGTTAGAGAGGGAGGTAGAATGGTGGGGAGGGTGTAGGTTGGAGGGGTTGGTGAGTTGTGCTTGAGGGTAAGGAGAATAATAATAAAAAAAACAAGAATATGAAGAAAAAAATAAAGAAGACAGAAGAGGAGACAGAAGAAAAATAAAAGGAGATAAAAAATAATAGAAAGATAAAAAAGAAGAAGAACAAGAAATAAAAAAGAAAAAAGAAAAAGAAAACGAAGAAGAAATAAGAGAGAGAGAAAGAAAACAACACAAAAGTAACCCACCAACCCGACACCACAGAAAACGCCACCATAACAACACCGTAACACACGGCCAACTCACGCATAGACATGGGTGAAATTATTGATAACTTCCAGGGCAGGCTCCGGGTAGTAGAAGGCGTGGGAAAAGTTGGTCTTGCAAGTGATCTCTTCCCCGTAGGACACCAGAGGACTCGAGTCTCCGAAGTCGATGACCAGGCAAGTTCCTCCTCCAAGGCTCTCGAAGGACACCTCGAACGTCTTCGTTTCGTTCTGAAGAAGAAGAAAAAAAAACGGGGAGTTGGAGGAGGAGGTAGGTGTGTAGGAGGGGGAAGTAGAGGTGGAGGGGGAGGGGGAGGGGGAGGGGGAGGGGGAGGGGGAGGTTGAGGTGGAGGTGGAGGTGGAGGTGGAGGTGGAGGTGGAGGTGGAGGTGGAGGTGGAGGTGGTGGAGCTGTAGTAGGGGGAATGGGAGGAGGAGGTAGTGGTGGAGGAGGAGGGGGGGAGGGAGGGGGAGGGGAGGGGAAGGAGGAGGGGGAAGAGGTGGTGTGTGTGTAGGAGGTGGAGGAGGTAGAGGGAGACGTGGAAGAGGAGGAATAATCCTAATTAAAGTATTTTATGTATTTATATGTATATATAGAATGAGAGAGAGAGAGAGAGAGAGAGAGAGAGAGAGAGAGAGAGAGAGAGAGAGAGAGAGAGAGAGAGAGAGAGAGAGAGAGAGAGAGAGAGAGAGAGAGAGAATGAAAGAGAGAGAAAGACAGAGAGAGAAAGACAGAGAGAGAAAGACAGAGAGAGAAAGACAGAGAGAGAGAGAAAGACAGAGAGAGAGAGAGAAAGACAGAGAGAGAGAGAGAAAGACAGAGAGAGAGAGAGAAAGACAGAGAGAGAGAGAGAAAGACAGAGAGAGAGAGAGAAAGACAGAGAGAGAGAGAAAGACAGAGAGAGAAAGACAGAGAGATAGAAAAAAAAAACGATTTTCCCAAACCTTCCCAGTGACAATCGCAAAGTCGTCGATGATCCCCACGCGCACTTGGCCGACGATCTCCACGAACAGATCCACGGGAACACTTTGGAACATGTTCACCGCGTACACCGTCAGGTTCAGGAAAGTCTCCTAAAAAAATGGGTAAATAGAAGTGAGTAAATAAAAAAAAAGTTGTCCTTAAGTAGAAAGTGAATGGGTTAGTAAATGGAAAAGTGTCTTATAAAGGTAAATGAAAGGGTAAATAGTTCTAAAGAGAAGGCAAATGAATGGGTAAATAAAAGGTATCCTAAGGTATCCTAAAAAAAAGTATATAGAGGGTGTCCTAAAAAAAAAGGTAGATAAAAGGTGTCCTAAAATGGGGAAATGAAAGGATAGAGTAAAGGTTTTCTAAAAAGGGTAGATAAAGGGTGTCCTAAAAAGGGAGAATGAAGCAGAAAATAAAAGGTGTCCTAAATAAGTGAATGTATAGGTGCATGGAAGGTCTCCTAAAAATCTCATAAAAAAGGCGAATGGAAGTGTAAATGGAAAGTTTTCTAAAAAGGTGTAATAGCATATTATTGAATAGATGGAAAAAAAACAGATGAAAAGGATTAATAGATGCATAAATCATTAGATAAATGGGATTTATTAGATTAATCGCAAATCTATATGTTGTTCTAGTGATAAAATCAACAAAGCTTCCTTCTACACAGAAAACAAAACAAAAAACAAACAAAAACAAAATATTCATAACATCGATATACCAAAAATAATCAAATTCGTAGGACAATTATCATTCTAACAACAACAAAAATAATTATCATATTTTCAACAACAAAAGTATCTTACTTACAAAAAGAATTTAAGAATCCTTTTTACAACAACAAAAACAACCATCTTACAACAAAAAACTTAAAAATCCTTAAGCTTACAACAAAACCATCTACAACAAAAGCTTAGGGATATATATTTTTAAAAGATAAAAACAACAAAACAATCATATTGCATTTCTCTTACGAAATCAAAGTGATAATGGAATTCGTTCGCCAGAGGTTGGAACGGGTCGATGACGTTAAAGGTCAAAATCGTTGAAGCATTAAGGGTGAATTCGACCGTATAGTAATCCACCGTCCCTGAAATGAAGTGGAAATATGCATTAATGTCTTCATTATCATCATCATCATCGTCATCATTATCATTATCATTATCATCATCATCATTATCACTATTATTACCATTCCTATCCTTACAATGACCATCACTATTATCATCCTTATCAGCACTCCCATTACCACTATCATCATCACCAACAACAAAAAAAAGTGAATCCGCACAAACACACCACACCAACAATTACAAAAAAAATCACCTAATCATATCACCAACAAACAACAAACAAACAAACAAACAAACAACCTACCCTGGGTCATCGTGGGGGCAAAGGTCAAATTCTTGTCCATAGGATACTGGTTCTTGATCTTGCCAAAGCCCGGCCTTCCTTCCAGTGACGTCAGAGTGGGATAGTATTTATTGATGATCGCGAAGTCTATGATTTCCTCGATGATCGTGACCTTTTAGAGAGAGAAAGAGAGAGAAAGAAAGAAAACAATAGAGGTAGAGAGAAAGAAGAAAATAACTGAAATTGAAATTGATAGAAAATGATTAAAATATATGAAAATAAATGTGGGAATAATGTAGACTGAAATAAAAATATTAAAGAAGAAAAAAAAATAAAGTGGACTGAAATAAAATTGGAAATAATCTATATTGAGAAAAGAATATTTATAATATCAAAAAATAGATTAAAAGGAAATTATAATGTAGAAATAATGTGGATTGAAAGATTATCATTAAAGTATATAAAGAGTAATGCTGATTGAAAGAAAATTATTAAAGAATTTACAAAAAATAATGTGGATTAAAAGAAAATTATTCATGAAAATCATTAAAGGAAATAGATAAAGTAAAAAAAAAAAAAAAGTACATAAAAACAATGTAGATTGAAATAAAACTATTTTAAAATGTTTAAAGAATAATGTATAAATCATCTGGATTGAAAGAAAATGATAAAGAATTATGAAAAAAATAGAATGTGGTAATAATACCCCCACACACTTCAACCTCCCCCCATACCCCTGTCACACCCACCACGTACACCACACACCCACAACAAACCCCACATACCCGCAACATACCCCACATACCTTCCACACCCACCACATACCCCTTCATACCCGCAACAAACCCCACATACTCCACATATCCAACACATACCCCACACACCCACACCATACCCCACATACCTTCCACACCTACCACACACCCACAACCAACCCCACATACCCCTTCACACCCACCACATACACCACATACCCCTCCACACCCACCGCACACCCCTTTATATCCACAACCAACCCTACATATCCCTTCACACCCCCAACAAACCCCACATACCCCTTCACACTCACCACATACCCCACACACCCACAACAAACCCCCACACACCCCTTCACATCCACCCCCCCCTTCACACCCCCCCCCCCCACCCACCCACACACCCACACCACATACCGTACAAAAGACTTCGAAGCCCGACACGACGTTGTAGATGTAGGCCGTGACGTTGTAGACCCCGTCGGCGGCGTAGACGTGCTGGAGGAGGGGCTGCTGGTCGCCAGGATCCACGAACAGCAGGGTCTCCAAGGGCGTGGCGTCGCCCCAGTCGATCCTGACGGAGGCGTTGGTCGGGAAGTTGGCGGCGGCCGTGTCGATGAAGCGGAACGTGGGAACTGGGGAGAGAGAGGGAGAGAGATAGAGAGATAGATAGATAGATAGATGGATGGATAGATAGATAGATAGATAGATAGATAGAGTGAGAGAGTGAGAAAGAAAGAGAAAGAAAGAGAAAGAAAGAAAGAGAGAGAGAGAGAGAGAGAGGGAGAGAGGGAGAGAGAGAGAAAGAGGGGGAGAGGGAAAGATGGAGGGAGAGATGGAGAGAGAGAGAGAGAGAGAGAGAGAGAGAGAGAGAGAGAGAGAGAGAGAGAGAGAGAGAGAGAGAGAGAGAGAGAGAGAGAGAGAGAGGGGGGGGGGGGGGGGGGGGAGATGGAGGGAGAAATGGGGTGAGAGAGGGAGGGAGGGAGAAAGAGAGGGAGAGGGAGAAGGTGGGTTAAAAAGAGGGGGATACTGGTGGTGTTTGATTGGTTGTTTATCTTATATCTTTTATTTTTATCGGATGTTATTGTCGTAATTACTATTGTCCATCATTATCATCACATCACATCACTAAAATGTTTCACAAACATTTACATATTTTCCACACAACTCCACGAATGTATTCCGCACCCACCAACATACAATATTTCACATCTACCAGCCTGTTTCACACCCACCAACATACTCCACACCCGCCAGCATACTCCACACCCACCAACATACTCCGCACCCACCAACATACTCCGCACCCACCAACATACTCCGCACCCACCAACATACTCCGCACCCACCAACATACTCCGCACCCACCAACATACTCCACACCCACCAACATACTCCACACCCACCAACATACTCCACACCCACCAGCATACTCCACACCCACCAACATACTCCACACCCACCAACATACTCCACACCCACCAACATACTCCACACCCACCAACATACTCCACCCGCCAGCATACTCCACACCCACCAACATACTCCACACCCACCAACATACTCCACACCCACCAACATACTCCACACCCACCAACATACTCCACACCCGCCAGCATACTCCACACCCGCCAGCATACTCCACACCCACCAACATACTCCGCACCCACCAACATACTCCACACCCACCAACATACTCCACACCCACCAACATACTCCACACCCACCAACATACTCCGCACCCACCAACATACTCCGCACCCACCAACATACTCCACACCCACCAACATACTCCGCACCCACCAACATACTCCGCACCCACCAACATACTCCGCACCCACCAACATACTCCGCACCCACCAACATACTCCGTACCCACCAACATACTCCACACCCACCAACATACTCCACACCCACCAACATACTCCACACCCACCAACATACTCCACACCCACCAACATACTCCACACCCACCAACATACTCCACACCCACCAACATACTCCACACCCACCAACATACTCCACACCCACCAACATACTCCACATCCTCTCCTCCACTTACTTTCTGACGGTATGAGGAAGGCCAGCGTTGCAGCATCGGGAGTAACCGTCCATGTTGTAACGACCTCATGCTGCACATAGAGTATGATGTAGTTCGTAATCGGCCCAGGAATGATGTTGTGTTTGTTCTCCGCCGAAACCGTCACTATATACATGTCGGGTATGGTGTGCGTGACAGTGTGGTTGAGCTCGTGTGGTACAGTGCCGAGTGGGAAGTCATCTGCGTGAGTTTTTTTTTTTTTTTTTTTTGAGGGAGGGGGGGTGTAAGGAGAAAATGAGGAGAAAAAAATAGAATTAGAATGAGATTGATGTGGGGGTTTTATTGTTTATTTTATGTATTATTACTACTATTGTTATTATTATCATTTTCATCATTATTACTTATCATCATCATGGCTATTGTTGCTATTATCATTGTTAAAATCATTACCACAATCAACATCAGTATCACCATTCAATCAGGTTCTATATCCAGATTGCAATAAGTAAGAAATATCTACAAAAAATGTACATATACACTATCACGCGTCTTCCTTTTACTCACTAAGGTCAGAAAAGGTGTCATTCACACCGAAGTCCGGCTCGTAAGTGAAGGTCACATAGATAGGTCCTGCCACGCTGAAGGAGATGGTGTACACAGCGAGGGTGTTCGACCTGCAGGGAAGAAGAGGGGAAGGGGGGGGGAAGGGGAGAGGTGAGAGGATACGAAATGTGAATCCATTGAAATGAAATTCATATTCATTTTTCTTTTTTATAGTATTTCCTTTGTAAGCTAAGGATAAAGATAGCAAACAATGTATTACACACACAGAAACACAGAAACACAGAAACACACACACACACACACACACACACACACACACACACACACACACACACACACACACACACACACACACACACACACACACAGACACACACACACACACACACACACACACACACCAGTAACACACCTCACATAGTAGGGCCCGATCTGGTTGACGGAGCCGTTGTAGATGTCCGTTTCGATCTGCGAGACGACCATGGCGATGTCGGTGATGTTCCTCTCGCATGACGTCACGTTGGCTAGCGTTATGGCCACCTGGGGATGGAGGGATAGATGGGTAGAGAGAGAGAGAGAGAGAGAGAGAGAGAGAGAGAGAGAGAGAGAGAGAGAGAGAGAGAGAGAGAGAGAGAGAGAGAGAGAGAGAGAGAGAGAGACAAAGAGAGAAAGAGAGAGAAAGAGAAAAAAGGAGAAAGAGAAATAGAAAAGAGAGAGAAGAGAAGAGGTAAAGAGACAATAACATTAGTTAGCCCATGGAATACACCTCCTAAACCTGTCGGCATAATTGCAACCGACAATTGATCATCCCCGCTATCAGTATCATTGGCGTAACCTCTCCTTTATCACTCTATCAGTCTTCTCATTCTTCTATAGTTTACGAATGCGCCATCTATCTTATCTGTATATCGTTATCGGCGTCTTGTTCAGCTTTCGTTCGTTCTTATTTCAAATTCATATTTATCTCACCTATCTATCTGTCTTTACCGTTTTCCTACCTCCTTCCCTCACTTGGGTCGTTCATCTTATCTCTCTATCTATCTATCTATATTTATCATTTTCCTCGTCCTTCGCTTATCTATTTCCTCACTTCCGTCATCCACCTCATTTATCTATTTGTCTATTATCTCTCCATTCTTCCTATTATCATGTCCACTCTGCCCTCTTTCTCCACTTCCCTCCTCCATTTAATCTATTTATATATTCTTAACAACTCTCTAATGATCATCCACATCCACACTATCCACACTATCTATCCCATCTATCTATTCATCCACAAAATTTCCTCGTTCTCTCCATTTTACTTCTCTCTTTCCGCTTTCATCATCCACTTTATCTGTCTATCCTTACCAATGCCATCGCCCTCATCCACATCACCATGACTATCCTAGCTATCCCGGCTTTCTATTCATCCACATCCTTTTCACTTTCCCCTTAGCGGCAACATCCACTTTCATTTTCATCTTCCCTTCCCTTTCTTCTCCCGCTTTCGTCTACTTTTCCCCCTTCGCCCCTCCCCTTCCATTCCCCTTCTCTTTCCACATTCATCCACTTCCCTTCCCTTCCTCCTCCCTCTTCCACCTTCATCCACTTTTACCCCCTTCCCTTCCTCCTCTCCCTTCCCCCCTCATCCACTTACATCATCCACCACGGTGAGCGTCACATCCAAGCTGACCGCCGTGCAGATATGAGCCACCTGCACGGGCGTCGGCTGCTTCATGATCGCCGCGATGTAGTGGTGATTTTCGGTCGCTACGCCGTTCACCTGGTCTCCGTAGGCGCCGATTTTTTCCCTGAGGGAGAGGGGGGGGAGGGGCGTGTTAGGTGGGGTGTGTTGGTGGGTAAAAGGGTATGATAATCACCATCATCAGCTTCATCGTCATTATAATCATCAAACGTCATCATTATCATCCTCATCACTGCTATCGTCATCGTCATTATAATAATCATCGTCATCACATCATCATCACCATCATCATTGTCATCATTATCATCATAATGATAATTTTAATGATGACAATAACAGTGATGATCATC